ACTTTAATTCAAAAGGTGTACCTTTTGTATCCTAAAAAAATAGAAAATGGACTCAATAAAATGTTGATTCCTATCTTTTTAATTGTGGAGTAATTTGCTTAGATTTCAAAAAAAAATGCCTAAACGGTTTAAACCAATATGTATACTATTCCAGGGAATACCTGTTTATCTTTTTAACACTAGTATACTTTTAATTCAAAAATTATATTTTTATTGCTGTTGAAAAAAAGTATTAACAATTTATTACTTTTATTAACTGACACTATTAATTAAAGGTATTTGATGAAGTATTAAATTTTTTTATTATAAAATATTTTCAATTACGCTGATTTAATTTAAATTGCTAAATTTAAATAAAAAAACAACACAATATCACATAATCTTAAGGGCTTTTTATTTATTGCTTAGTCATTCTAAATAAATAAATTTAGTTCAAGTCAATATTTCAATATTTAAAGTTGCAATATAATTTTAAAAAATGTTTTATGTTTTAACTTTTTATTTAGTTATTTATTTCTTACCTACTTTTGTTATAAAAAGACTTAAAGTAGGAGGAGCATAAAATATTTCAGGTTTTTATTATCTTTTTAAATGTTAAAATTAGAAAACAAATAACTAAACAAATAATGAAAAAACTTATGAATAAATATAAATAAAAATATTTCCAAAGTTTCATTGTCAAAAGTTTATCATGACGTCAAATACAAATACTTTTATGAATTAAAGGCGCTTCTAAGGAATTGCTGAAGTCTGTAGTTTCCCACGTATAATTTAAAGATGCCAACTTTTTGAGTAAAATGAAGAAGGCGAGCATGGAATAAAACAAGATTAGTTTTTTTTGGTATGCATTCATTATTTATTTTTAATCAAAAAAACTTGGTTCAAACCTTTTTTTTCAACATCATCTTTAATATGAACACATGTGTTAAGAGTTTGGGATCCCTTTAAGCTTTTTTGTTTACATTTATAATTTAAAAATGGAAATAAGTATAAAAGAAGACAATATATATAAATAATTATTTAAACTTTTTAAAACAGTAATGAAAAGCGATTTAAGCAATTAAAAAAGATCAAAGTATTAAATTCATTCAAATTTTACTTGCAAAAAATTGTCTTTTGTTCTTGTTTTCTCTCAACTATATTACACAAAAGAAGAAAAGAAACTTAAGTATGAAAAACATAGTTGTTAATTATAATTTAACTAATTATAATTTAACATTTATAAAGTATAAAAGAATATTCCTGCTATGAATATAACCCACCAAAAAAGATAATTTTGAAGATATTTATGTTTCTAAAAATCTCATATTTTTCTACTTACGTGGAAACTTGATTTGCTCAAATAAATTGAGTTAGAAAACCATGGACCTAAAGCCATGGGTTGCCTTTTTTTTAATTGTTAGAATGCAGTGGTTTTTTTGTTTTTGTTTTTTTAAAGGCCACAACTAATTTCCCAATATCAGGAAAACAGCGTACAAAATTTTTTCCTGTCTAACATCCTGTTTGGATGATATGAGATATTAGTATGAGTTAAGCTTTTATTAAACGCAAGGGTTGAATTAAGAGATCGCGATTTATAAAATCTGGAAAAATATCTGGTCTTCAAAATTTAAGTTTATGCAAAGCTGTGTATTTTGTTTTCAAGGAGTAAATTATTTTAAGTTTGTTAGCAAAAAAGTTATAAAAAACAAAACAAAACAATAAACTTACAATTACAAAAGTATCAACACTCTAGACACTAAATGCATTATAAAAGTAATGAAACTATAATAGTGTTATATTGAATTTATGTTGTACATGCAAAAGATGACATTCAAAAAACTTAGCAACACGACAACTTCCTTATTATTTGTTAATAAAATTGTGTTTTAAAGCTAGCAGTCTTTTATTAAGAAATTCATTAAAACTATAAAAAATTGCTGTTTTATTTATTCAGTCAGCTTTATTATAGCCTTATTTTACCTCTGATAATATTTTCTATTCAAATCTAAATACAAAGAAAAATAAAGAGAACTGTTAGGCTGCTATTATTTAATTCACTTAAAAAAATTTCAAGTTAACCAAAAAAAATTGCTGAAAAAGAAAGAAAATATACTTCAACTTAATTGTTTCAGGTTATCTGATGTTCGTCTTAAATGGAGAATTTTATTAGTAATCAATTATAAGATTTTAAGGGACCAAAAATGAAATATAGGAGATAAAAAAAGTTCAAGACGAACCTGTATTTGACTAACCAAGAATTAATTGTAATTAAGGCGCTAGTAAAGGACCTGGGCTGGTATTTGACTGTGGCCAAGGTTGATTCTACAGACGGGACTGCATAAACATAGGTGTATATTGACATATTTTTATATATCATATCAATATGCACCAATATTTATACAGCCCCAGCCATAAACCAGGCTTTGGCTCCGGCCAAATACCAGCCCCGGTCGATTACTTCAAGGTGTGCAAATTAAGTGATCACAAATTGCAAAATCTGGAAATATTTCTTTTAAATTTATTATCTCATTAAGAGCTGGAAAAACTATTTTAATGAAAGGGTATTCAATTTATCATATTGGGAAATTTAATGAAAAAACAAAAGGATAAATTTACAACTTCAAAAATAATAACAGACAGAACTTACACAACTTAATTTGTTTTAAACACCAGTTCAAATATTATAAACATTAAACAAAGTTATAATTATTACTGAAGGTCTCAAAAATATGCACAGCAATCTTAAGTTATCTTAAAATCAACCAATCAAAAATTATACTTAAGCTAATTGCCCATTGTAGAAAACATTAAAACCCAATTTTAGTTAGGGGGAAATTTTGAAAATTTATTTAATTAAAAAATTAAATGTTTCAAATTAGGCATAAATTAATTAACAATAAAAATAATGATAAATATAAGATAAATATAAATACATAGGTTTACCTACAGCTACTGTGTTTAGCCAGAATAATGGATAAGTTGGCAAAACACTTGCTCAGCTGTGCAACAAATAATTATATTAGTAAAATTTTTAAAATTCAAAAGTTTTTTGGTGAAATAGTTCACCATTCAACATTAAGATTTTATTTTTTTCTTATAAATAGTTGTGTTTTTTTCGTCACAGATGATATTTCGAAGTGTATTCTAAAATTTAGGACCATAGTGTGATAATGTATGATTACCAAAACGATTACTGCATTTTGTTTCCTTTGATTTTAGTGTTCTTTCTAACATTGAGCAGTGAATTAATTGCATAATGATGTTGTTGCTTCCAGGATAGATTTGTGTGTTATTAAAAAGACCTTGAAAAAGATTCTATCTCTAATTTGCAAAATAATATATGTTAATATATATGAACATTTTCAAAAAATCAATCACTAATACTCTTTTTTAATATTTAACAAAACATAAATTCTGTCTATTGCTTTCATTATAACAAAACTGGCAAGTCATGCACAGAAGTTGTAAATTTGTCGAGCTTATGTCATTTTTGTGAAAACAAACTGCTTGTGAGTATTTAATAAGTAAAAAATTATATCTCTACAACTCATATAATCTTTTTAATATAATAACTCATAAAATTTTAATAAGTTCAATGAGAAGTAGCAGTCATCAACAATTTTTAGCTTGAGTATAGTGTTTAAAAAATCATTTAAAATCATATTTTTTAAAGTATTGCAACAAAATAAATTAAAACATAAAAAATATATACAAACTAGTAAAAACCTATATATTTAAACATTCAGGCAGCCTAAATTATTATAAAAATATTTTTGTTATAATTGATATTTAGATTCACGGTTAGCACGGATCCTTATAATGCCTCCCTAGCTGTCTCAAGGACACCACTTATATGGAACATCAAGGTACCCTGTGATGCAAATTTTGAAATCATTTAATTTGGTCCGCGGAAAATAATATAAAGTGAATGTTCAGATTAAGTCAAATTTTGACTTCATAGTGTGCCAATAAAAACATTTGTAAATTTGAACCACTCAATATAAATTGATAAAAATTGGTGCAAATGTAGCCAATAGTCACACCAAACTCTGGGCAAAATTTCAGTCTGATTGGATGACTGGCGTAGGATTTATTGCAGTTTTGGTTGAAGTTTTGTCAGTTTTCTGCTACTTATACCTCAAAGTACTACCGACTACTTTGAAATTTGGTCACTATTTTTAAAATAACGATTACATGAGTTCTACTATGTAATACCAACAACTTTTGTTATAATTATTTTATTGGCACATATACAGTTTTCATTTAATAGACCAAAATAGTGTTTTGCTACATAAAGTGTGATAATAGTCTTATGCTAATAGTGTCAACACGGCCTTTAAAGTGGAGGGGGTCAACTCCTCAATTTTTAAAATAAAATCCATAATTTCTCAAATAATTGCCTATATTTCTAAAACAAAAGGTCTTTGTTAAAAAAAAAAGGGAAGGCCATGGCGCCCTTGCCCATAATACTTTGTGTATACTATTTATACTATCCTTATTTATACTTTTTTTATATTTATTTTTTATATTATTATACTTATAACAAAGACAGCATTTTAAACTATATAACAAAGACAGCATTTAAAGATTATAAGGATGCAAATTAATCCACAGCTGTAACAATTTAAACATTTTATAAAAGTAAATTTTTTTTGCACAACTTTACACAAGCAAGCACACTGTTACACAATACTTATATGTTAATATATTAAAGAATGCAGTTGAAAATTTTCAAGTCTAATAACATAACAATACAATATAATAAAATGGTAATATGAAAGTCATATAAATAATATGGCAGCAAAACTATTTTATTATTTAATAAACAGTATAATAATAATTTAAAAAAAGAATTTAATTAAAATAATCATCTATAAAAAAATGCATTATAGATAACCTTCTTTGCTTAACTTCTTTGTTTTTTTTAACTTTTTAAATCTAATGTTAACCAACCATTTATTAAATAAGTTTTTTAAAAAAAAAGTTAATTCTCTTAAAACAACTTAAAAAATTATTACCTGTAATATCGACTCTGAAGGTAACTAGATGCTACAGCCTTTGAGGTATGAGTTGCACTACCAAAATCAACTACTTTTACTCTATATGGCTGGCGTTCTTGTTCTACTAACATTATGTTTTCGGGTTTAAGGTCTGAGTGAATTAAATTCATTTGCTTAAGCTTTAATAGTGTTGTTGCCACTTGATGAAGTATTGGTCTTACATATTTTAAACTTAAGGGTTTGAATTTTGTACTGCGAAGAAAATCATAAAGATTTTGTTGCAGCATTTCAAACACAACACAAGTGTGGTTTCTATGAGTAAAACACTCTATAGCCCTTACATAGTTATATTCTTCAGAGTCTTCTTGCATTAATAAACTAAGTATATTAACTTCTATCTCAGCTTGTTTTCGGTAAGAAGGATGATCTTTCGATATTTTCACTGCAACTAACTCATTAGTATGACGCTTCCAGCATTTTACAACTTGACCAAAGGTTCCTTTTCCAAGGAATTCCAATACCTCATACTCACCTGTCATGGAACGCAAAATCTCATGAGCAGTGATTTTGTAGTCATACAGGGAATCATTATTTTCAGTTTCTTGGTGCAAATAACTTTTATGTTTTCCATGAACAGGACTGTCATCCGGAATAATAATAAGTTCATTCATCATAAACACGTAATATGGCAAGCAGTATGTGCATATATAAATATATATTTATATATCCAAGATTCAAGTTACAAAATACTTTCAACGACCTCTTAAAAACACAACTTATGCCATAGTATTATTAAGCGTACATTTAAAATGTTCCATTGTTTTTCTTTTTATAATGCAAACGCACTCTCTAAAAGTATTGATTTTCAGGCTTTTTTTACAAGAAATAAAGATTAGAATATCTGCAAAATAATTTATTTGAGTGACTCAAAAACTTCGGCTGTTTTGCTCTTCCTTTAAAAAAGTAACTAAGCTACTGTAAAATAAAGACATACGACGTAATAATTGTTAAAAAATTTAGTTCAATTACACACAAAAAATCAATTAAATATAATTCTTGTGTGCGTGAAATGTGGGACTCGTTCAGTATTTTAGAAAAAAGTTATCTATGAATAACAGCCATTTTTCATTGATATACTTTAGACATTTTTGCTTCCCGAATACGGTGTTTATTTTTTCACACATAACACGAATTATATACACCGCGCGGGAAACTAAAGAGTATGGGGCGAGAAAAAAAGGAATATGAGTTCATCCCTACCCAGAATGCTGCAATAAAAATATTTTTTCGTTATCGTTGATTGGGCTGAAACTGCACACCTCAGTAACCACATTGAGTTTTTAATGCTCTTTTTTTAAGATTCACACGGTATTTAGTTTACAATCGTTGTGATCGAATAAGAATTACATTCCAAATAACAATGACTCAAAGCAGTTCGAATAGTTTGTTGAAAAACTAAATAAATTATATTTATTACTGTTTTTATAATTTACAAGATATGCAAAACCAGGGATCGTGGCTGCTATTTCTATGGTTAAGAAAGATAACATTTAAGTTTAGTGATAACTCCAAACTTGTATAATTTTATGCTAATATAAAACAAGAATGACTCTTTTGCTTTATAACAAATGCGGGTGATTGGTGCCTGAGAAAAATAAAATCTCAAAACCTGTGCCATTCTACCCCCCGAATCGCAAATACGAGAGCAATAATTTAATGAGTCTTAAAATATTAACTTTAAATTAGATTTTTATTAATCAACAGATTTTAAATTTTATATAAAAAGATTTTAGTATTAAGAGTTATAATCCTATATTTTGAGGGTTTTGCAATTTACAACCCTTTATTTTAAGTAGTTTACAAGTTAAGCACAAGTTTTTAAACTATTTTGTGTTCTAAGCTAATAGTCATTATTTGGTGTTCTAAGCAAATAGTCACAATTTTTTGAAAAACATTACTATTTGATACAATCGTGACCACAAAAAAGTTTTCTTTCTATGTCTGAAAGTTATCTTTCCGGAACATCAGAAAAAACAACCACGAAATTACCTTAATACGCTAAAACACATAGATTAAGTTTATTAGAACTTTTTTGCATTTATTTAACTACTTTAAACTTTGACGAACTATGCTAAAAATTTATATCTTAAATTTTTTTGGGAATAGTCTGCATTTTAACAGTTAACATCGTTACAATATTTACAGTCAATCATTTTTAAACGAAAAGAAGCCTATTAATAACATTTACTAAACTATGAACTTTATGTGAAAACAATATTTAATTATATAATCAAATATCATCTAATACTTAGTAAGATGAAAATCACTCCCTGATTGCACTTTTCGGACATTGAATGCTAGAAGACCTGAAATAACTAATTAGGATATTACATTAATAAATATAACATTAATTATTAAGACATGAAGAAAGTCTTTGTAGTAAAATAAAAATAAGAACTTAATCAGGTCTGATGAAAAAATTGAAAGAGATGCAAATTTACGATAAGTTTAATGACAAAATCGAAATAGAAGTAAACTTACAATAAGCCTGATGAGAAAACCGAACAAAATGCAAACTTACGATAAGTTTGATGAAAAAAGAAAAAGAGATGCGAACTTACTATAAGTCCGATAAGAAAAGAGAAAGAGATGCGAACTTACTATAAGTCCGATAAGAAAAGAGATGATGCGAACTTACGATAATTGGACAGTAACTCAAGATTCATCAACGTCTAATTTTTACATTGTCTAAATTTGAGACGGGCCACATTTAAAAAATATGCCTAAGTATGACAGTATTTAATTTAAGGACGGTTAAGGGACAAGTATGACAGTATTTAATTTAAGGACGGTTAAGGGACAAGTATGACAGTATTTAATTTAAGGACGGTTAAGGGACAAGTATGACAGTATTTAATTTAAGGACGGTTTATAGAGATAGAGAAAGAAGCCAGGAGTAAAAAATCAACAATTGTTATCAGATTCTAAATTTACATATATAATTTTCATGAAAGGTTAGTAGTGAATAATAAATTGAAAAGATGTAAAGTAAAGTGTGATTTAAGAGTTTACAAAAAATTTCTTTGCGAATAGTTCTGTTTTATCCTTAAGAGAGGTATGAAATTAGGACCTATAAATAAAGGAACGAATATTAGAACTGTCTTTTGAATGAAGGAATGAATGTTAAAACTTGCTTTTTGAATGAAGGAATGAATGTTAAAACTGTCTTTTGAATGAAGGAATGAATGTTAGAACTGTCTTTTGAATGAAGGAATGAATGTTAGAACTGTCTTTTGAATGAAGGAATGAATGTTAGAACTTAGTCTTTTTTATTCGCATTTTAACTTCAAGATAAATCTTCAAGATAAATCTTCAAGATAAATCTAGATTATAGTTTCTGTCTCTATACAGTTAAAAGTATTTATATTAAATTTATTTGATTTTTGTTATTTTGGCCTATTCGTTTTTATTTTTAGTTTTCATTTACAACGGTAAAAAAAAAGTGAAATTATTATTAATAGTTATTTCAACTTCAAATAAAAGACTTTCAATAACAAATACAAAAAGTTTTCTTATATAAAAAAATACAATTAAAGATATTTATATGTGTGTAAAAAGATTAAAGGTAAGTCTCCACTTATTTGTTTTTTCAAAAGAATAGGAAAGCAAATGTAAACATAATGAGAGCATGCAGTGCTGTGGCTAGTGGGTCGGAGCCTCCCAAAACCCACTAGGCACAACACCTTTTTTCTTTTCTTTATTAGGTATCTAAAAAAAAAAGAATTTATAACAAAAAAAAACTAACTAAAAAAAAAGATTTAATTTCTCAAAATTCATGGGATTATTTATCTTACCTTTCCCGTTCTCGTAAAAAAATAAAAAAATGGAAAATTTCAAAAACAAGTTGGAAAATGTTAGCAAAAAAGCAGAGGAATTGTTAATCAAATTATCATTACCGTTATTATCATTAACGGTATCATCAAAAACTTGGAGTCATTTTTAGCTGTCATATCATATCAAATGTGTTAAAAATGTTGTAGAATAAAAAAGCAAAAAATTTATCCAATATTTAATCGTCACAAAACAAACGTTTTATCGCGTACATAAAAAAAAACGACAAATATCTATTGTATAGCTTTTTAGACAATATTTCGCCTAACCTTTTTGTGCAAAGTCAAAAAATAATTTATTTTTATTTTTTGCTAACAGATTTTTTTCCTATCTATTAGACCAAATAAAATCCTGCGGCTTTTCAATGATCTTAAAAATTTAGCAATGAATTATTGCGAAGTTTTCAGGGTTTTTATTTACCGATGCCGTTTTATTTAATAATTGTTGTTTATAGAAAAAACATTTTTTTAGTTTGTGTTATGTTTACCCAGTTAATTATTAATATCATGAAATTTTAGAGAGAGCTTTCTTGTTAATTTTATTTATTATTTCCTTTAATTTATTTATAAAGTATTTTAGTACCCCCGGCATCAAAAAAGATTAACACTAATGTTTTTCTGCATGATAAATATCATACCCTAAGTTTTCATCTGACTTAATGTGTGAAATATCGTTCAATACTTAACGCCGTTAAGAGCAATTCTTTAAAACATTTTTAAAATCATTTATTCTTAAACTTTTCAGCTCTGAATTTAATTTTTTTATGAATTACTTTTATTTAGTTTAGGCATAAAATTTAGCTATACAGTTCATTGAATCAAAATTTAAAATACAGCTTAATGTATCAAATTTTTGTTTAAAATGACGTTTCTGCTACACGAAAAGTCAAAAAAATAGTGTTTACAAGCAATTTTATTATATTTTTACGTATTTAACATCAAACTTTTTAAATATTTAGTTTCAAATGAGTTTTATATTTAATTCCAAAAAGTTATATATTTAGTTTATTTCAAATTTAAAGTTTTTTTTTTCGATTTAAAATAATAGTTTTCACAAAAAAATATTTATTTGCTCGAAAAAATTTTCTAACAAAATATTTTCATAAAACTGCTTTGTTTAGTTTAATAATAATAATACCTACGGAAAAGCATTTAAGCATTTATGCCTCCTTCTTTATTAATGTCGTTACCCGGACCCTTTAGAAGCTCGAACCTTTTGGTTCAGAGCCAAAACTCTACTGCGACGCAACTGCTGTTAAAGGTAATAAAGAAATTTGCATTGTGAGATTATCTAACAAGGAGCTACAGCATTATTTATATCCAAAAAATAAAATGAAATCTAATAAATATCCAAGAGATAATATCGATTATATATATGCTAGATGTCTAACTTGCGGAATTTTATTGGACGAATAGTGAAGCCTCTTTTTTTGTTATAAATTTAATCCTTCCTTTGTAATAAGGGGAAATATTATAGAGGTAATGTTGTGGAAGCCATTTTTAATAAAGGAAAAAGCGGCTTCACTTTTCGGATCAAAGTTAGGCTTCTAGTGTATATAATGTATTAGTGGATAATATATTATCATACTATAGTTTCTCCAAACTCCAAAAAAAAAAAAAAACTTAGATCTCAAGAGTATATCATAAAAAGAAAACTCAAATGCGATTCATTGATGAAATATTTAAAGGAATTTGTCGTTTAAAAGCTATATAAACTTTTAAACCGAGAAAACTTGTGCATTATTGAAGACGATGAAACTTATCCTCCATATTGTCCTGAGTTATTGAAAGTTATTGGTCATTATAAAAGAAACCTTATTGAAAAGTAAGAAATTAGCACAAATAAAAAAGATTTTAAGAAAAAATGGATAGATCTCAAAAAAACTCATAGCAAGATCCCGCAGATAATGTCAAGTACTCGCAAAGATTTTGATTTCTATCTAAGAGTCCAGTAAAAAATGTAAAAAAATTATTGAAATAAATAAATAATTCAATTAGCTTCATCGTGTCAAAAAATCACTAAAATCTGTTGAGTAGTTTTTGCGTAATAAACAATAAAAGGGGTTGAATTTAATCGTTTTCAACCGATATCCTTAAAAATGTGATAAGTTGTTTTGATAAACTTTCAGGTGCGTAAACAACAACGTTTCAGAGGCAGCTCAGATAAAAATTCATATAAAAATATCTAAAAACCTCGGTACATTTTTAAAGCTAAAACAGTATTGTCATTAAAGTTGTATAACTTCTTTTTTTTTTTAAACATCTTCTCTTCCAACAAGGCTGCAAGCAAGTTTGAAGTTACTGGAATAGAAAAGATGAAATTTATAAAGCAAGATAACAACCAACAGATGACTTGAAAGATTGCAAATTATATGAATCAGGAAAACAAAACGAAGGTTTTACTTTACTTTTACGTATGATTGATTTTCCTCTATACATACATTGTTAACGCAAAGCAAACATTTTTGTAGTTGATTTGCAGTGGACCTATATTTTAATTATTTTTAATTAAAATATTAGTCCGCGGTTAATTAGAGTTTTGTTCATTGGTTACATAGTGGGCCATCAATAGCATACTATATAGGATGCCTATATAGGTCCACTGAAATTTAGCTATAGAACGTTTGCTAGATATAGACAGCAAAAACATACTTTTAGAATGATCTATCGTAAAAACCATTTTACGCATGCCTACTTAAAGAAATAAAAGTGGTAAATAATTACTAAATTAATTTCTGCGTTAATATATTTTTATACTAAAACAAAAAACGGGTTTAGTTTTTACTCGATTTGAGTAGATTTAGATTAAACTAGATTTAGAAAAGCGCTAAAAAAACATTAAATAAAAGTTTGACTCACTTTTAATAAATATATAGTTTGACTCTTAAATACACTTTTAATAAATATATATTAAGACCTCTTGACTTCACCTTTGACCTTATTTGAATAAGGTCCTGACTTCACATATAAACAGTAGAGGATTATTATTGAGCTAAAAGACACCATTGTCTTAGGTCTAACAATTTAAGGAGCTCAAAATTTTAACTTTAAGAAAAATATTTTTTTTCTGAGCATCTTAGAAAATTTTTTGGTAATTGAATTATTTCTCAGCATAATTAATCAAAAAAAATTTTACCACATTATCACCTAACAATGTTTTTACTTAAGAAAACTATGCAAAAGAAAAAAAAGTTTTTAATTTATTTCAAAAACAAACGTTTAACTTTTCACAATTCCAAAGAAGCGAGTATTTTTTCAAATTTAAAAAGTCTTTTGAAGTAAAAAATACATAAAATGTTTCGAACTTTGTCAATTAAAAATGTTGAGCTTTGCTAATTAAAAAAGGTGAAAGAGTTAAGCTTAGGTATTTAGTGTTTGAATTCAATTAGTGTTTTTATTGCGCGTATACGTGGCTAAATAATGTCTGTTTCTGGTTGGACTTATGAAAGCTGCGCTGCATAGTGAAAAAAAGCTTTAGAAAAAAGTAAAAGAGAAAAAAATATAGTGATTTTTAAACACAAGGCGGGGAAACGTTTCATACTTGTCATCAACTATTTGTGAAAAAGTGAATGTTTTAATGGATCAAGCAGTGTTGAATAGTATAGTCAGTAAAATAGTATAGCCAGTGAAATAGTATAGCCAGTGAAGTAGTATAGTAAATGAAATGAAGGAAGCAAATTATTACTGTGTTTCAATTGTCTAATCACCTGATATATGTTGACGTTGATGACTTAGGCAACTTATTGTCAGTTACCGTTCATTATGTTAATAATTCTGGGCTAATAGGAAAAATGTTTAACAATTTTCAAACCCATCTTGGTTAAGAATTAACGAGAGTATGTCTTATACAGATGATAATGATCGCTGTCATATAACGGAGTTCGAAAAAATGTTCAAACGGTTATTCCACGTTATTTTTATACCGTGTTTTGCACATTCATTAAATTTAGTAAAAACAGTCCTGTTGACTGTTGTTCAGCTGCTTTATATATTTTGATTTTGTTTAAAAAATATAAATATTTTTAGTGCATCAACATAACGCTGAAATTTTCTTCTTTTATATATGAATACATACTAGTACCAAACCAACTTTCCGTTACGCTTCGTACAGTCAAACGTACAGCCAAACGTACAATCAAACGGCTACGTGGAACTTTAGTCAATTTAGTGCAATTTCAAATAATAATGAAAAGAAAGCAGTTACAAAACTGTTATTAATAATGTAAATAATGGTATGCTGTCAAAGTAAAACTATAAACTAATTTTAATTTAAAAATCTCAATAATATAACTTAAAATACACCACGAAAAAATTTACTTTTAAAAAAAGAAAATAAACCGAACAAAAATAATGATAGTTAATATAGCCAGGAATTAAATCCAGGCATTGAAGTAGTTTGTTCTATAAGGGCCCTAAAAAAAATATTGACCTCAGCAGTCATCAAAAATTGTATTGAACAAACTAAAAATCTTTGAAACTGTTGAAAAACATCAAACTAGATAAATCAGAAAAAAAATGAAAGTAGAAAATTTCAATCTTTAAAGTTTTTAATAAAAATAGAAAAATTTTTTTTTATAAACGGTCGGCAGGTATCCAGGTAAAATTTATATAGAGGGTAATTAACTAAACACAGCATTTTTTTTTTTTACTAAACATTTTCATCTAACATAAGCATGAAAATACTTACAGGTCGATAGGAACAAAAGTTATTCCCGAAAAATTAAACCCAAAATAGTTTTAAGGACGTTTTTGATTTTTCTTAAGTAATTTTTCAATTAATTTTTTGGGGATTAATTTCAAAAAGTAAGATTTCAATTAATTGGGGAGGTAAATGCCCCTGCTGCCTAACCGGTGGCTAAGGGCTTGACTTAGACTTGGAGTTTGCAGAACTTCTGAACATGTCATATCTGAAATCCTTCCATCGGGCCAAAGAATGCTCAGCATAGTTTTAGGTTTTATGAGATGGTTCACTAAACTTTACATTATTTGCTGAATAAAGTTCTTTTGATAACAGAAAAACAATAAGTATAAATTCTTGCGTTTCATCGTTTACAGTTAAGCTGGCTTATAATAAATTGTTCCGATTATTTATAAAAGAATGAATAAAAACATCCTCAGGTTTGACTCAACCATTTTATAAACATTAAAGAGGCTTCAATTTTTCTTAGCACTAGATAAACAATAGCTGAATAAAAAAAATGGCAGTTTTAAATGAGTATTAAGTTATTAGGGTGTATATAGGTCATTAAAGCATTAAAGTCATCAAAAATGAAGAACTATTTTTTTTACTTATAACTACAA